AAAGCACTCTCACACTTGCTTTTTATATAGTTATTTTAATATAAATAACGCAACATAAATTTACATGTTGTCCGTTTTATCTCAACTAACTTCCGATTGCCCTACACGTGTCTTTTTAATCGTCTCACCACGTGACAGCTCACGTGATTATAACAGAACCAATAATGTTATTAAAAGTAAATAAATGTATAATGTAAAACGTCATGCACTAGATTAATGTTTTCTACATCCTCCCCAACCGGAAAGATTCGCTAACAGTTTAAATGTTTCGCTATGTATACTGTTCGCGAATTCTCCGCAAGTTTTCTCCATCGATCGCTGCCTTCCTCGTTGGTCTTCTACTTCCTTTTCGCTCATCCGCTCTTGACTCGGTCTCAGTCGTGTTATGCTGTTCTGCGTTCCTATCGTTGTCATCCCCTTCATGCTTGTCGACGTCATCCTGGACGATCTCGAAAGGTATTAGCTTTTGTAACGGTCTGTGAACCGACGACTGAGCTCCACCCTTTGATAGAACCTTCAATTTAGCTCCCCTGACCAGTCCATCACGTCCTTTCATCAGCTGCAAGACTCTTCCAATCCTCCACTGTGCCCGAGGTGCTGGTTCATCCTCTTTAATCAAAACAACATCACCAACGGTCAGACCTCGCGTATTGGTTTTCCTTTTCCGGTAGAGGTTCATTTGTCTCAGCTCGTTCAAATATTCCCTTCGAAACCGCGTCCAACAATCTCTCAAAATTTTCCGTAAGTGTTTCAACCGCTGTTTGTACTGTCCAAGGCTCGCCGTAAGTATGGTATCCGTGATTTTCATCCGATTGCATCCGTCTTTGTCTTCGAACAAATTCAATGAAGCACAAACGTTAGCAAAATTTGATTGTCCTTTTATCTGAGATTGTTCTTCTTTAATCCACATGTGTAACACTTGCTCGTATTCGTCAGCCGTTAGAACGTTCTCCGTGATTAAGTTTCCATGGTTCTTCGTTCGTTTTCGCAAATTGTTCAAGAATCTTATCACGTAACCAGTGGTGACAACCAACTTGTTCAACGAGCTATACCGAGTGCAGTCTATGACATCAGACAATGAACACGTTTCGCCTGATATGTCATTCCGTGTCGCGTTGTTGAAAAGAACATCAGAAGAATGACTAACCTCTTCCACAACCTTCCCGCCCAAAGACGTTTGATCACAAAGGGTATCACTTCTCTCGCCTCTGTATGCAGAAGGTTGAGACAACAACACCGAAGGACCAGTAAACCAACATCCTGAGAAACACTCAACTAGACTAGTTGATATCCTAGTGGGGATATCTGCAGGATTCAGTTCTCCTTTAACAAAATTCCACCGCTCACGATCGACAACCTTTCTAATGGTGACAACTCTATTCTCCACCCAAGGTTCCCAGCTTCGCTCCTTTCCCCTTATCCAACTCAACGCCACCTCTGAATCCGACCAACAGAATATTTCATCCAACTCTACACGCCCTCGTATACCAAGTACAACCTCATTGATCAACTTGCTCAATAACAAACACCCCAATAGTTCCAACCTGGGAATAGTAAGGGTTTTTAAAGGCGCCACCTTGGTTTTCGCCGCCAAAAAAGACACTTTTGCACTTTTACTGCAAACAAACCGCAGATAAATGACCGCACTATAGACTTCTTTTGAACTATCACAAAACCCGTGAAGTTCAACTCGGATTCCGGAATGAAAATTTAAATGAAAAACAAACCGAGGTTGTCTTACTTCCCGCAGAGATTTTAATTCATCTAAAAACTTGTTCCAAATTGACGCAAGTGCCGGTGGGATAAGGTCATCCCAATTTAATTTGTCTTTACATAACAACTGAAATATTGTTTTGATTCTGGCGGTGACGGGAGCAATCACACCCAATGGATCGAAAATTGAGGCCGATGCACTCAGTAAATTCCGCTTGGTTTGCTTCAGGCTCGCACATTTGCTCAAGAAATTATCGAACTGAAAAACAAACTCATCCGTGATGGTATCCCACGCAACACCTAAGACAGCCTGATTTGGCGTAACTAAATTAGGCGACATTACCTCGACATAAGTAAGATCTTCCCCTAGGGGTTGGGAATTAGGTTTGTCACCCATTGTCGATGAAATATATGCTCGAAGTTCTGGATCGTTAGTTACCCACTTACGTAATTCAAACCCTCCCTCTAGCATAATGGCTTTACTAGTCTCATATATTTCCTTAGCTGTACCAACGCTATCGCCTCCACTAACCAAATCATCTACGTACAAATCCTCGCGAATACGCTCTACGACTGCATTCTCCTTCTCTACATACTTGCTAAGGTGGTGCCTCAACGTCGCGTTTAACAAGAAAGGACTACTCGTTAGTCCAAAAACTACCCGTAAAAATCTGTAAGTGATTATTTTTTCCTCTTTAGAATTGAGGTCATACCACAAAAACCGTACAAAATCTCTATGCTCCCTAGATATAGCGATGTTAAGGAACGCCTGTTTTATATCTGCTAGGATGCCTATCTTATTAAGCCTAAATCTCACTAGGATGTCAAATATCTTGGCAATAAGATTTGGTCCTGAATACAAACATTGGTTAAGTGAGGGGCCGTTAACCTGACACGAAGCGTCGAAAACTGCCCGAATTTTCGTAGTCTGCTTGTCCTCACGCACGACCGGTCGATGCGGGAGATAATGGACCCCACCTACTTCCCCAGCAATCTCATGTGAAGGAACGCGTTCAATTATTCCGTTTTTCTCGTACTCTGTAAAGATCGTATCATACTCCCTGAGAATTCCTTTGGATGTTAAACGCCGTTTTAGAGATGTTAAACGCCCTTCACATACACTAAAGTTGTCTGGCAGCTGCTCATGGTCTGGCTTAAAGGGTAATTTCGTTACATATCGGGTCCCGTCGTGCCCTATGTCATTTTCAAACTGACTGACCACACAGTCACTGGAGGAGCCTATAGTCTCCACGGACCAAAATTTATCTAAAACTTGTCGTAAAGCGTCTGATGTTTCTTTACATTCAACTGAGGCACGTAGGATATGGGTCTCGAAACAATGCAGGTCAGGAGGACCTGTCCCAATTTTGCCACTTACTACCCATCCCACCTTAGTTCCGCATGCTACTGGACCCGCCTTACTTCGCACAACCTTTCCTGTCATGAACGTGTGGTAATAATCTACCCCGATTAAAATTCCTACTGGGAGGTTTGGAGAATCGCCTTCATGGTCAGCCAATTCCAAGTCCTCAAATTCTTCCAAATCATGCGTTTTTGAGATATATTGATTAGTAAGAGGGCTGCAAATTGTGGGAACACATAAAACCTCAACACTGGTGCACCTAGAATCAGATTTATTCTTAACTTTGACCTGAACGACATCTAGTCTCTTAACCTTGCTATCATTGTCCTGACCAAAGGTCTTAATTATGACCTTTTCTGACCTGATCGACTTTAACTGCAACCTAGCTCTAACCTTATCAGAAATGTAAGACCGCTGGCTTCCACTATCAAACAAAATCCTGGTAGCTACTTGAGTACCAATATTCTCCTCATCATAGACCTGTACTCTAGCTGTTTGTAATAATATTCCCTGCTGGTCACAGCCAGTATGACCTACAAATTCCCTACTCTCCTCATCCTCTTTGCTCCCATTCTCCTTACTTGCATTTCGTCTGCCCGAAGCTGCCTCACAAATGGAAATGTGGTGTTTACCCTTGTTGCACCGCTTACAAACATAAGTTGCCGTACAATTTTTTGCTATATGTCTCGAATCTAAACAAATAAAACATCTCCCTTTTTTCCGCAATATGTCTTTCCGAGAATGGTGATTCGAGACCTTACTACACCTAGATGGAAGATGTCCCCCCTCATTACAATATATACAGGGGGTTTTACTAGTTTGACTGAATAACCCACTTGCTGTATAGGGCTCCCTTTTCCTGAAATTGTCAGATCTACCATCTGATTTATTACTCAATGAGAAATTACAATCTTCTTGAGCACGAAGCTCATTGTTAAAAAATTCCATAACCTTATCTAAGTTCCATACTTTACCACAAAACTGTCTCGAAATAATCATATTAATCTCATCGGGCAAGCGGTCCTTTAAAATTGGAATGAGAAGAGAGCCATACCCACTGGTGTCAAGCTTAAGAGATTTCAAGTTCCTCATACAGTTTTCAACATGACTGTACAACATCCTTAACCCCTTAATGTTATCAACTGACTTAATTTTATTAATTTTAAGTAGAGACTCCATATGTGCAGAAATGAGCACCTGCTCATTCCCAAATCTATCCTTTAAAACCTGAACTGCCTCCTGATAATTATCTGAAGTTAAAGTCAACCCTGAAATAGCCGCAAGAGCTTCCCCTTTCACACAACCTTTTAAATAATTGAATTTATCAATATCACTTATGTTTATATTACTGTGGATCGACACTTGATACTGATCCCAGAACCCCTGCCAATCTAAGGGTTCCCCCGTAAACTCTGGTAATGCTAATTTTGGCAGCTTACAATGCGCAGGACTTCTATTTGTGCTTAAACCGGCTGCACCTAAGGAATAACTTGCGCTATTAATATTACTTTGCCCTTGCTTAATTTCTTCAAGTTTCAAATCCGCCTTTGCCAAAACTTGGTGACAAGGTTTTAAAGCTTTCATGTGACGAATAATTTCCGGCTCAATGTCCTTTGGATCTATCAAGGATAATATTTCATTGTGCACAGTCGCCAATTGTTCGATGATACTAGCCACATTGTTTCTCAACCCAAGGAGTTTAGATTGCTCGCAATCACCGCTTTCCGAAGAAACATACTCGTTTAATTCACTTAAAAGAGTTTTCAAATACGCGCCGAGACCAAGGTGTCTGCCTTTAGCCCTTGCTAATTTTTCCTCCATGACAAATATGAAATATGAGATACCGACTACACAATACACACTGTGGACGCGTTTTTACAATACAACGCTACGTATGACAATTAGACACAAAAAATATATAGAATTTCTAACATTTACTATATCATAAAACATATACACTTCAGAACAATGTACAACCCCAAAGGGATCTCTCAAAAGGAAAGAATTTACCTCTAACCACGATATCGACCAACCGACACGCTCGCGAATGACTCACAGACTCGTGTTCACTGTAACACTGTCGTCGACTTAAACGCACAATTATTGATACCTCGTATTCCGTATGATGTTCTGCCGTGTCCCCTATCGGGCTCCATGTAAAAAGCAATCTCACACTTGCTTTTTATATAGTTATTTTAATATAAATAACGCAACATAAATTTACATGTTGTCCGTTTTATCCCAACTAACTTCCGATTGCCCTACACGTGTCTTTTTAATCGTCTCACCACGTGACAGCTCACGTGACAGCTCACGTGATTATAACAGAACCAATAATGTTATTAAAAGTAAATAAATGTGTAATGTAAAACGTCATGCACTAGATTTTCAACGTTTTCACACTTTGCTTCTAACATTGACGCCATTCCAAAGCTTAATAATGGCAAACCAACACAAGAGCGACTTTAATATCACCCGTGAAAACATCGCAATCTTTGGACTTTTAAATTTTACAGGAAATATTACATTAGTTTGGGAAGGATACAGCTTCTCTGTTGTGAATGTGATTTCAAAACAACTTTCGTGCTACGGTGAAAAAAAGTTTCAATCACGTGAATACAAAATTGTTCGGGAAAACGGGAGTTTCGTTGTTAATGAAACGGGGGAAGTACTTCTGCTCGACGATTATACTTTAGTTGAAGAAAATGGTGGAAATATTACATTATGTCGTAAACTGATCCTTTCAGATTGCAAAGACGGCGCATACGTGCCGTTAAGTCCTGACGAATACGTCATCTTTCCTAATTTGACAGTTTATCACAGAGCGACGAACAGTACTTTCAAATTTGGAGAGTATCTAATGAGTGAAAAGTTAAACAAAAGAGGCATCTCTAATACAACTCAAAACTCATGGAACTCAACAATTTCTGTTTGTTTGCCGTTTAAAACAACTTTTAGAAAAACCGAAACGAAATACAGTACAAGTTATGGACTACGAATTCTGACAATAATTGGTTTCAGTGTTTCAACACTTTGCCATATATTACTTTTGATCACCTATGGATTATTTAAAGAATTAAGAGCCGTTTCAGGATTGAACTTAATGAACTTGAGTTTCTCAATGTGTCTGTCACCACAAGTCATGTGGTTGACAGGTACGGCTAATTTTCAAGGAACAATAGTTTGCGAAGTCTTAGCAATACTGGAACACTATCTTCTACAAGTATCCTTTTTGGCCATGTCCATCATTTCACATCACACATGTCACGTTTTATCACAACCTTTCATTGGGAGAAGTGCCAACACATCGTCGCGAAGGTTTATCAAGTATTCAGCATTCCTGTGGCTAACTCCTGCCGTATTTGTCGCAATCTGTGTCACCTTGGACAAAACTGAAGTGTTCCTAGTGGATTATGGAATGAACTGTTGGTTGGGAACTGCAAATGCTAAGCTGTTTTTATTCTTATTACCCCTGGCAGTATTACTACTCTATAATATCTACAAATTTATCCAAACAGCAGTCAGTTTATCTCGTCATGCTAAGGACAGAGAGATCTTACAACGCAAAGAAGGAAAACAGAATCTTCTCATCTGCACAAAACTTGCAACTTTGGTCGGTTTCCCTTGGCTGTTTGCATTCATTGGCGTGTTATTTCCCGATGTAGAAGCGCTCGAGTATTTGTTTGTTGTTTTTGTTTGTTTACAAGGATTGTATGTAGGAATGGCGTTCCTATTTAACAAGAAGACTCTGAAACTGTATAAGGATCGATGGAATATCGGCTCCAGAGGAAATATACCTCATACCGGTACCAAACAAAGTTTTGAATTGAAGTCCAGATTGACTGATCCAAAAACTACTTCTGTGTAATGCTTAAATGTCAAACTCAGTAACAAGTCATGAGTAAGTTAGCCAATCATATTACTTTATTTTGCTCACATGCTAAGACTGGATACCTGGTGAGACATATTGATCCGGTCCTCGAACTGTATCTCTAATTAATTCAGTTCTTCGGGATGTCATATCAAATCCTACAATTCGGACTTTACTAGATATGATGCAGTACGCGCAATTAGTTCTGTGCGAGGCAAAACCGAGGAATGAACAAATTTCAAGGACTGGATATCTGGTAAAGTCCTCATAGTCGGATTTGATATATTAGTAATATTACATGAAACCAATGGCAATCATGTTAATTCTTGTCCATAGTTTCTGGTTATTGGTAGAAAAGAAACATGTTTTCTTGATTGAAACAGTACCATAACTTTGCGCAAAGAGTCCCCTGGGCACAGAGTAAGTATACAGAGGTCTCACTTCAGGTTAATTTAGCTTAAGGGATTTTTCAGTCCGCCATGTTCTTAGCAAGTGCCTAAAGAGAGGCTGTTCCCCCTGAAAACATATTGAAACTTAATGTTCCAGGGGGATGAATGCCTCTCTTTAGGGCACTTGCTAAGAACATGGCCGCCAGATATGCGCAGTAAAACTTGCCTTGCGGTTTTCCCGCAAAGTGTGACCTCTGTATGTACTTACCCTGTGCCTCAGGGTATTTTGGGTGCAAACCTTGGCCCATTAAAATTTGGCTATATTTCATTTTAGGCTTTCATAGCCAACTAGACAGAGTACTGGATGGTCATTCAGTGATACAGATATTTTATTTTATTTTTATCATGTCTGAAGCTTTGTCTTGTGACAGTCGTTCAAAAACTTCAATTTCGACACTTTGTCGCCCTTAATGTGTGTCACTAATTGACTTGTGCCCTCCCCCCCGGCTTTTGCCTGGTGGTTCCCGAAGTAGTTGTGCCATTGTATAGAATTGATCAATTTCACTGGAAAATTTGAAACAATTCCATACTGTGGAAATTCTACGGAAATGATAGGGAAAGAGTTAGAATTTCAACTCCAATCTTTTGCACACTAACATGGTATGGAACCTATCCAAACTATGCAAACTTTTAAATTTTACACACGGACAAATAAGACGTGACAACCAAAACTTGTCAAGGAAAACTTGTCAAAGAAAACTAAGTTTTCAAACTTAGTTTTCTGATATTGTGAACAAATCGCACCAGTGGCGTAGCCAGCCCAATGATTTAGTCCCGCTATGCAAATATTTTCGTGTTCATTGACTGTGAAAACAATCGATTTCTAAAGAAATGAATAATGATAATAATTTTGAATTTGCATAGCGGGACGAAATTGTCGGGCTGGCTACGCCACTGAATCGCACCCGTTGCTCTCAGCAACTCCCGGCATCCCTGCAGGGAAACAAGAGTATATAGTGTACCTGCGCCAATGGTTTTTGGTAAAAAGTAAACCTCAAGTGTTTTTTGATGGGCGTATACACGGGGTAGCGTATATACGGGGGGGGGGGCTGTAATAGTGATAAACAAGTATAGTTATAGTGATAAGTAGTGATAGTAGTGATAAACAAGTGGGCTTATATTTGGGTGGGCTTATATTTGGTATATTTGGAGGGCTTATATTTGGAATGGTGTGAACGTTAGTAATATGTATAGGTTATTCTGAGGCAACGAGGGGATATGTGATTTATTCACCGAGGCGCGCAGCGCCGAGGTGAATAAACACATATTTCCGAGGTGCCTCAAAATGTACGTACTTATTTTTCACACTGCGAGGTCGCGTTAATGGGTCAGAATAGAAATAATTCTTAATGCCATATTGCCTTCGTTATGTTGGGTTTTTTTTCATTTTTTTGTGCTGCAAAGACATTGCAGGTGAATATTAGAGGGGATTATTAACTGCAGGTGAATATTAGAGGGGATTATTAAACGGAAATTGATTAGAGGGGAATATTGAATATATTCCCCGCTAAGAACAAAGGAAACCGAGCAGGGTGAAAAATAAGATGGGTTTATAGACGGGGCGGGGCGCTTATTTTCGGGGGGAGGGCTTATAATTGGAGGTTTACAGTATATTTGTATATTGCTTCGTTTTTCTGATATTTAGACATTCAAGCGTTCCGAATCCTTATACAGTTACATAGTATAATAAAATGTAATCATTACATATATTTTATTATATATATTCTCCGATAATCACCTCGCCTTCGGCGAATAATTGTTAATTAAGGTTTTACTCGCACGGGTTTTACTCGCACGCGCATGTCACGCGCTATATCACATTTTACAAATTTTCTTTCTGCGGAAAATATTCTTGAGTGAAAATCTTATATTTTCTCATTTGAAACAACTTTTGAAACAATATATTAACTTCTTTTCCCGACTTTTCATATGTTGCTTAATTCTTGAAATATTCTCACTCTAAGTAATGAGATGTCCGCCATCTTGGATAAATTTTCGATCTCACTAACGGTAGTTTTGGTGACGTCACAACAGGGATTAACCATATAAACAGGGGCGTGGGGGGGGGGGGGGGACACCCCCCAGTTTTAGGGGG